GCCGGTTGAGCTATAGGCGCCGAGCCGATTTTTCTTTTTTTAATCTACCACCTTTTTGGTACTGAATGAGACATTGTCATTTTGTACAAAGTCAATGAATGCTTGTAATTATATTTTATCAACCTGGTATTAGATAGCATTTTGTACGTTGTAATGAATACTAAAGAAAAGTGTTGATTTATAATGAAACCATAGCTGTCATATTTTCAGTTTACTTTTCTCACCTGCTTTTTTAAATTACTCAAGAGTTTACTAATTTTTCTGTACTTGTATTTCTTTTTCAGATCTCAATTCTTTGAGGTGGCATTAAAGAGCACTAAGATCAGAAGATGAGTGAACTTGACCAATTACGGCAGGAGGCCGAACAGCTTAAAAACCAAATTAGAGTATGTAGCTATATATGTGCTTTGTTGTTTTTATTTAATTTAATTAATTTATTTTTTGAGATGAAGTCTCACTTTGTCACCCTTGGTAGAGTGCTATAGTGTCACAGCTTACAGCAACCTCCAGCTCCTGGGCTTAGACAATTCTCTTGGCTCAGCCTCCCAAGTAGCTGGAACTGCAGGCACCTGCCACAATGCCCAGCTATTTTTTCATTGCAGTTTGGCCGGGGCCGGATTTGAACCTGCCACCCTTGGTGTATGGGGCCGGTGCCCTACTTACTGAGCCACAGGCGCTGCCCCTATTTATTTATTTTTTTATTCTAATTTTTATATTTTGTAGAGACAGAGTATCTCTTGTGTTGCCCAGGCTAGTCCTGGACTGGCCTCAAGCAACCTTCTACTTGCCAAAGTCTGGGATTGTAGGCTTGAGCCCAGTGCACCTGGACAGTTTTTTTCTTTTCCTTTTCCTTTTTGTAGGGTTTCTTTCTTTCTTTCTTTCTTTCTTTCTTTCTTTCTTTCTTTCTTTCTTTCTTTTTTGAGACAGAGCCTTAAGCTATCACCCTGGGTAGATAGCTGCAATCTAGCTAGATTACAGAGCTGCGATCACAGCTCACAGCAACCTCCAGCTCTTCTGCTCAAGGGTTTCTCCTGCCTCTGCCTCCCAAGTAGCTGGGACTACAGGCACCTGCCACAACGCTGGACTATTTTTTGATTGCAGCTGTCATTGTTGTTTGACAGGCCTGGGCTGATTCCAACTTGCCACCTCAGGTGTATGTGGCTGGTGCCTTAGCTGCTTGACCCACAGGCGCCGAGCCCTTGTAGGGTTTTTTTTGGCGGCGGGGGGGGTGTTTTGTTTTGTTTTGGTTTTTGGTTTTATTAATCACTTAAATTTCAGGTTAGATGTTACCTGATTTAGGAAAGATAATAGTACAGAATGACTTACTCAGTGTTTTAAATTAAAATTAAATCTTAGTTGGCTCAATATGTACTAATTATAGATTCAGGTACTTGGCCTAGTGCGTTGTTTTCTGTATATTCTAATTTGTTGTTTGAGTATACATGAAATGTCACACAGAAATTGTCTCTTACTGAGCTCTCTATCTGACCCTAGGGACTAGCTTTATGATAGCCCTGTCCACTGTGTCAGACTGTGCCGTCTGCTTCCCTTCTCTGAATTATTGGGACTTCTAAGTGGTGGGCATAACTTACTTAGAAATAAGAATATTAACAACAACAATAAAGAAGTATTTTGGATGTACTTGATGTATTTTTTCTTAATTTTGAAAATTATGTTCCATAAAGATGATTATTGGAATCTACAACTTTGGGTATACTACTAGATAAACACATCTAATCATAGATAGAAACAGCTGTGTATAACTGCTCTGTATAAAGAATAACTTTCACAGAATTGTAAAACATTAAGTTCTAGTCTGTGACTGATACACAGTGTTAAATTGCAGAGTCCATGAGCTTTTTTTTTTTTCCTTTTTTGAGACATAGTCTTAGTCACCTAGGGTAGAATGTTCTGGCATCTGCCTAACTCACAGCAACCTCAAACTCTTGGGCTTGAATAACCCTCTTGTCTCAGTGTCCCAAGTAGCTGGGACTACAGGCACCCACCACGACACCTAACTAGTTTTTCTATTTTTAGTAGAGGTGGGGTTCCCCTGAGCTAAACCAGTCCACCCGCCTCAGCCTCCTAGAGTGCTGGGAGTACAGGCATGAGCCACTGTGCCTGGCCTATATTTCTGTTTTTAAACTGTTGATGTAAGAGTGAGAAAAAGGGGTAGACACCTCACAAAAAGCCCCAACTTCTATATGTTGATAGTTTTTGTTCATTTGATGAGCATGCTTGCTCTGTTTTTTGTTTCCACCTGGAAAGCTGTAGCTGCTCTTCAGAGCATCACTGTGTAGGAAGCTGATAGCATTCCAGGGGCTGCTTGTTGAGACATGGCATGCCTTAAAATATCAGACCAGCTGGCAGAGTAGAAACAGTGCCACAAAATGACAAAATGTACAGGTGCAGTTTTATTGTTTTTAAAGAGTTGTGGTGGTCTGATAGGTCATTTAGGCTGGAGTGTGTGGTCATAGCTTATTATGAAGCCCACCCTTGAACTGGGCTTAATTGCTCCTCCTGCCTCAGCCTCCTGAGTAGCTGGGGCTATAGGCATGTACCACAACTCCTTGCTATTTTTTTTCTATTTGTGGTAAGAGATGCTTGTGCTCAGGCCCAGCTTGAGGATTATAGGCGTGAATCACCACGCTGGCTAAATAGTTATCATTTGCAATAAGGTAGTTTACTCTAAAACCTTATCTCCCTAAACCATCACATGGGAGACAGGTGGGATTTGTGTAAGTACTGCATGCAGTTAGTTGCCTTTTTGAAAGCAGGTGGTCAGGTGACAGCATAATGGAAACATTTTTCATATTAGAAGTTACTATGAGTTCTTTTGAAGTTATGTGTACATTCAGATTTTAAAGCTACCATCTCATTTTCCTTTGTGATGTATATCTATTTATAAAAAGGTGTGCTAATTTAAGATTTTAATATTTATTTCCTAGTAATTTTGATCACTTAGTAGTAATAAAAAATTTTAATTAGCATTGGCATTTTCCATCACAGTTCTTACCTGTTTCAATAGATAAGAAAACAGATTGATGATAATAGGATGACAACAGCCAGAAAATTTCATCTGACTGTGATATCTAACTTCAGATCACCCACTCTTTTCATACAATTTGTAATTAATGGTTATGTTGAAAATAAACAACAAACAAGGGTTTTTTTGAGGTTGTCATTCATCCTTTTTATATTTATTTCTATTTATTTTTTTGAGACAGTCTCACTTTGTCACCCTCCGTAGAGTTTGTGATGTCATAGCTCATAGCAACCTCAAATTCTTAGGCTCAAGCGATTCTCTTGCCTCAGCCTCCCAAGCAGCTGAGACTACAGGTGCCCACCATAATGCCTGGCTATTTTTAGAGATGGGATCTCTTGCTCAGGCTGGTATTGCACCTGTGAGCTCAGGACAGTCCACCTGCCTTGGCCTCCCAGAGAGCTGGGATTACAGGCGTGAGCCACCTTACCTATCCCATATTGGTCCTTTTTAAAACATTTTTCTTTGAGGCCCACCCCTCATCTCTCATGGGCTGTTATGAAAGACAGAGCAAGATAGATGTATGCAGCGGGTGGAGAAAATTGCAGAGGCAGTGCTGGGTCCTAGGGCTTGTGGTGCAGCACAGCTTCCAGTGTGGTCTCTCAGCACCAGCTGCACTTGTGGGCACTAGGGGTGGTAGGCTATGTAGACAAGATGTTCTGCTAGTCCTTTTTTGGGTATTCCTCATTGCCTGTGTTCAGTGTGGTCTTAGTGGTAGTGGGCTGGGGGTATTAGAGGGAAAGCGAAGAGAAGACGCACCTTTCTTTAACATTCTGCTTTTATTTCTAACAGTTTTTATGGAGACTCCTTGAAACTTGGGTGGGTGCAGATCTAAGATGGAATGTGTTTGAAGTGTTACTAATCTGCCTTTGTGTTATTCCCTAGGATGCTAGAAAAGCATGTGCAGATGCAACTCTCTCTCAGGTAAGAGCTGGTCCAACTACTGAGCAGAGGTAGGTGTGTGGTGCTGCTCACACCTGGATCCTTATGCTCTGCCCGTTGGAACATTGAAGATGTCAGGCCACTGCTTGAAGCATTTCCACTCAGAAGTCATTCTGATGATAGTCCTAAGGAGTAGTGGGTTTTCTTTTTCTTAGATGAAACAGTATCTCAAACCTTAATTACTGTAAATATTGTAAAATATTGTTATTGTCTTAGAATAAGATACTTTCAAGATCCTCTGCTTAACAAAATCAGCCTCACAACTTTGATATATAATGTCCAGTCTGGCAGTTCCTCACAAAGTTAAACTTAGAATTACCGTGTGGTCCAACAATTCCACCACCCCTACAGGGTATCCAAAAGCTGTCCCAAAGAGCCCATACATAGGGAAAATGGGAAGGTGCCTTTCTTTATTTACAAAGTATTCATTACAAAATTTTACAGAATATTCTCTATGTGCTGGCCACCTCTTTGTTAAATTTTGTAATGAACATTTTGCAAATACACGTTTAGCTACAATTTTTCATTTTCCCTATGTATGGTGACTTTTAGGGCAGGTTTTAGACGTCATGTAGTTCCATACCTAAAAGAACTGAAACCTGGGCTTGGCATCTGTGGCTCAAGTGGCTAAGGCGCCAGCCACATACACCTAAGGTGGTGGGTTCGAATCCAGCCTGGGCCGCCAAACAACAATGATGGCTGCAACCAAAAAAAATAGCCAAGTGTTGTGGTGGGCACCTGTGGTCCCAGCTACTTGGGAGGCTGAGGCAGGAGACTCACTTGAGCCCAGGAGTTGGAGGTTTCTGTGAGCTGTGATGCCAGGGCACTCTACCCAGGGGGACAGCTTGAGGCTCTGTCTCAAAAAAAAAATAAAGAACTGAAACCTGATTTTCAAACAAATACATATATGGAAATGTTCAAAGCACCACCATTCACAATAGCCAAAAGGTACAAACAGCTGGAACCTTCATAAACAAGTGACAAGCAAATTGTGTCTGTCTGCACGATGCAGTGTCACCCTGTCATTAGAAGTAGTGCAGCACTGACCAACTCTCACACGGCAGATCTTGAGCACCATGAGAAGGGAAAGGCACCAGCGAGGCTGCCTGTCGGGGTGGCTCACTCATGTGGAGTGTCTGGAGTGGGGGAAACTCAGAAACAAAGCAGGGTGTGGTTGCTAGAGGCTAAGGCAGGGAGGGACAGGAAGTGACTTGGGGGGAACTTCCTTTGGAGTGATGGAGATGCTTTGGAACTAGACAGTGATGCTATACACACTGTGAATACCCAAATGCCACTAGGTTTAGACTTTAACATGGTCAGTGTTATGTTACATGATATTTACTTTATTACAAGGATAAAGTCCAAAGAATTGGACAGAAATGTGAAAAAAATGATTATTAGTTCTGCTGTGATTAATTTTTTTACATCATTCAAGTGCTTTAATTTGGTACACCTTGGGTTAAACAGTACATTAAAGACTAAAATTATACTACATAGAACTGCCTGAATTTCAGTTTTCAGGTGGCATTTAAAGCCTACTATCACGATACACTTAACTGTGTCCTAAAATTATCAGTGTCTTTTTTTTTTTTTTTTTTTTTGAGATAGAGCCTCAAGCTGTCGCCCTGGGTAGAATTCTGTGGCATTATAGCTCACAGCAACCTCCAGCTCCTGGGCTCAAGCAAGTGTCCCGCCTCACCTCCCAAGTAGCTGGGACTAGAGGCACCCGCCACAACACCTGGCTATTTCTTGGTTGCAGCCATCATTGTTGTTTGGCGGGCCTGGGCTGGATTCAAATCCACCAGCTCAGGTGTATGTGGCTGGTGCCTTAACTGCTTGAACCACATGCACTGAGCCTTTTTTTTTTTTTTTTTTCTTGCCTGGGGCTGGGTTTGAACCAGCCAACTCTGGCATATCGATCCGGTGCTGTGGCTTCACAACTCACAGCAACCTCCAACTCTTGGGCTTAAGTGATTCTTTTGCTTGAGCTTCCCAAGTAGCTGGGACTACAGGCGCTCCCCACAACACCTGGCTATTTTTTTGTTGCAGTTGTTCAGTTGGCCCGGGCCAGATTCCAACCTGCCGTCCTCTTGTCTATGTGGCTGGTGCTATAACCACTGTGCTACAGGCACTGAGACATCAGTGTCCTTTTTTTGGTGGGGGGTGGTCAGCAGGTCTGTGTACCCCAAGCCATTATTACGGAGAAGAAGGTGCTGACTGTTGTCTGGGCTGCATGTAGCTTGACCTAGGAAGCATTTATTCTGTTGAGATGTAGGGCTTCCATGCAATGGCTTGGGAGAAGACTGACCCTATGAGGACTGAGAGACTTAGGACTAGCTCCTCCTGAATGGACAGTGAGAACCAAGAGAAAGAAGGGAAAAGTTAGCACATCCATGGCTGGGAGTATGTGTGCATGCGCATTGTAGGGGAGGGAATACTGGTGTCCTGAGGACCAGCTAGAACAGTGAGACTCAGTAAGAATCATCAGTGGGAGTTATGTGCAAAATGCCACAGTAAAGGCCAGTGAAGAGTGAGGCCAGGAATCTGTGGGTCCAGTGAGGGAGACGCAGCCACTACAGTTGCTGGGAGAGGATAGAGCTTAGGTGAAGAGTGATTCCATCATAGATGTTAACGCATAGTAACTTTTTTGTTTTTAAGATCACAAACAACATTGACCCTGTGGGAAGAATTCAAATGCGCACTAGGAGAACGCTGAGGGGCCACTTGGCCAAGATCTATGCTATGCATTGGGGCACAGACTCCAGGTATGGACTCGGGTTATGCTACGTGTTGGGGCACAGACTCCAGTTATGGACTTGAGGGTTGCTACTTTGTAGAGCAGTGGTTCTCAACCTGTGGGCTGTGATCCCTTTGGGGGTTGAATGAGCCTTTCACAGGAGTCGCCTAAGACCATCCTGTATATCAGATACTTACATTACAGTTCATAACAGTAGCAAAATTATAGTTATGAAGTAGCAACGAAAATAATTTTATGGTTGGGGATCACCACAGCATGAGGAACTGTATTAAAGCGTTGCAGCATTAGGAAGGTTGAGAACCACTGTTCTGGAGGGAAATAACCTCAACTCACTTGCTGTGTTTTGTAAAGAAAAAAATTTGTATGTTGAGTCAAGATTCTAGGCAGGCTGACTGACTGTAGGATTCACAGATGTACATTCCTTATCCAAATTTCCCCTTCCCTGGGTTGATGGTATGTCGTCATTCTGTCACTGCCCAAGTGATGGTGGCATGGTTTTCCTTGCTCTCCTCATCATCTGAGTTTCTAGACCTTTGTTCTCTTAGCTTCTCTGTGTGACTGGGGAAGTCATCTAACCTCTGTGCCCTGGTTGTTTGTGCAGCCTGTTTCTTTTTTTTTTTTTTTTTTTTTTTGTAGAGACATTATCACTTTATTGCCTTCAGTGGAGTGCTGTGCTGTCACACAGCTCACAGCAACTTCCAACTCCTGGGCTTAGGCGATTCTCCTGCCTCAGCCTCCAGAGTAAATGGAACTACAGGCACCCGCGAAAACTCGGCTGTTTTTTTGTTGCAGTTTGGCCAGGGCTGGGTTTGAACCCGCCACCCTTGGTATATGGGGCCAGCGCCCTACCTATTGAGCCACAGGCGCTACCCATGCAGCCTGTTTCTTACAGCGCCTTGTCCCCTGCCCTGTCATGATCTCAGTGTCCTGGCTAAAGGGATCACAAACTTGCCCAGTGTGCGGTATTGGAGGATTAAGTCTGTAAAGCCTTAGAATAGCAGCTTGTGGGATCAGGTGCTCTGTGCAGGCTGTGCTTTTGTTTCAGCAGACACAGAGATGTGCCTGTGAGCTGTCCTCTTAGGCAGTTCCTTCCTGAGCTTCTATTTTCATTACTTTCGATTCTCCCCCTGGCTATGTCACCTCCCTAACCCCACATTCTCTGTCTCTTCTTCCCTCAGTCATCTGCTGGCTAGGCTGTGTCTGCCTTATCCTCTAGCCATTGCTGGAGTGAAATCTCTCTCCCTTCTCCTATTTCAGAGGCTAGTAAAAACATGTCTCTGTCTCTGCCTTTTCTGTCCAAATACTTTAAAGTACTGTTCAATTAGTATAACTATGACGTGCCCTTTTAGGCACCTGACGTGTGATTCTTAACAGTGCCTTTCTTGAGTAGTATACTTTTTGTATTCAGTCGTCAAAGTGGAACTTTCTGCTTTGCTTTCTTTGTTCATGAAATTATCTGCTTTAGAGCAGAAACAGCTAGAGAACAAAAGATTCTATCTTTAGTTTGTTCCATATAGTATCCCATACAGTTCCACATGCAAATGAGAGCTAGCGTGACCATTTTAATGATGGCAGTAGTCAGAATGAAAAGGAATGGGGGCAGGTGGGGGTGGGGAGATGCTGTTCAGAGGGTACAAAGTTTCAGCTAGACAGGAGGAATTATTTGAAATGTATTGCACAATGTGGGCATGAGGGTGATAGTTTCAAAATTGTTAATAAAGTAGATTTTAAATCTTTCCACAAAAATATGGAGTGATGAATAATTAACGTTATTTAATCATTTCACAAATTAAATATGTATCAAAGTATACCATTGTGTCCCATGAACATATAATTATTTTTAAATTAAAAATAAAAAATTTGGGGTGGTGCCTGTGGTTCAGCAAGTAGGGTACCGGCCCCATACTCCCCCAGGGTGGCGGGTTCAAACATGGCCCCGGCCAAACTGCAACAAAAAAACAGCCGGGCATTGTGGCAGCTACTTGGGAGCCCCAGGCAAGAGAATCGCTTAAGCCGGAGAGCTGGAGGTTGCTGTGAGCTTTGACGCCATGGCACTCTACCAAGGGCGATAAAGTGAGACTCTTATCTCTAAAAAAATAAATAAATAAAATAAAATAACATAAAAAATTTGAGCAGCGCCCATAGCTCAGTGGTTAGGGCACCGGCCACATACATCGAGGCAGGTGGGTTCAAACCTGGCCTGGGCCAGCTAAAACAACAATGATAACTGCAACAACAACAGAAAAATAGCTGGGCATTGAGGCAGGCGCCTGTAGTCCCAGCTACTTGGGAGGCTGAGGCAAGAGCATCACTTAAGCCCAAGAGTCTGAGATTGCTGTGAGCTATGACACTGTATCACTCTATCCAAGGTGACAGCTTGAGATTCTATCTCAAAAAACAAAACAAAAAAAAATTGAAAAAACCCTAAAAGAACAAAAAGAAAATGTTCGTATCTAATCAGTCCACATTAGAGTTTATAATATAAAAGGTAGCGATGGTAAGTAAACAGTATGCTGCTACCTCTGGGTCCTTTCTTTGGTATATTCTGGGGGAATATCAATGCCTCGAATAGGCAAGATATAGGACTAAAGAGTGCTGCAGCTGGCAGGGTTTAGGAGCCCAGCTCTCAGAGCAAAGTGTAGACAGGACATCACTCTAGAGGGTACAGCTGGTGGGGTTCAGGAGCCCAGCTCTCAGAGCATAGTGCTGCAAGTCTGGTCTTGGCCCCTGCAGCAGGTGCGTGCTGTGGCAGTTGTGTTCAAGGCCCTGAGAGGAGGTGTTCACCCTAAGCAGTGGAGCTGGGGAACCAGGCTTTATGCTCCACCTGGCTTTAATATAAATTGTGTCTTGAAAACCAAGGACCAAAAGTGAGGTAGAAAAGCAAGGGCTGAAGCAGCAGTACTAAGTTCAGGGCGCTGCCCCGTGAGCTAGGGGAAATCAGGGAGGCTGGTGAGTGTTGTGTTAGTCTTAGGGTGCTAGGTGCCTGTGATTTGTTTGTTAGTTTTATATTCAAGAGAAAATCAGTAAGTGATACTGAGGAACACCTATACTATTAGAACCTTTTAGGGATTGTTTTAAAGAGCTATGTTTTCTGGATAAGCCACTGGGTTGCCTCTTTAAAGTCTAAAATAGTTTTTTTAAAAACAGATTTTCCTTAATCATCTCTGTATTTCCTGCCTTCCTAAACAAAGGTTATTGCATAAGACTTTTTTTCATGACTTAGCTATAATTTATGAATACCAGTTATTTTACTGTGCCTGTTTGATTAGAGGGCCCCACAGTGAGTGGTTCATATTCATACATGCACGTATTGATATATAATATGTATACATTGGTAATGTTTTTCAGTGTGTAATGTAATTTATATTGAGATTCTCCTTCTATCCCACCAATTAATGTTATGATCATAATCTTTTTTATGATTGGAAGTGAAACACAGCTGAACTGGGCTAGGCTCGAATGAAATGAAAGGGATTAGGTGTTTGGAGCCTTTTGGGCTGGTTGCCTGACTCTTGCTCTGTGTTCTGGGTGGCAGCCCCTCAGGTGACTGATTTGTGAATAGGTAAAGGTTCTAGGGGTGGCAGGAACCCAACCCTTAAGTAGTTGCCTGACCTAGGACTGGGAGGCGTGTCTCCTGTCACCTTCTAGAGGATCAGGGCACAGCTTAATGCTTCCCTTACCACCTAGCCCCAGTGAGTCAGCAGTTATTAAGCTCTCTGACCTGGAGACTTCTATAAAGGTGACCCTCCTGACCTGGGAGGATGAGCTGCTTTAGATCAGCTCTGATACTTCAAAAGTCTGAGAAGGGCCAGACAGAAATAGGGCAGCAGAGGAAACCTCACACTTATGTAGAAGATAGCATTTAACTACCTAATGTGTTGATGACCAAACCTGGATGGAGGAATTTGCTTCAAGGATTAAATATTTTAAAAAATACGATTGTATCTTATACTTGGTTCACTTCTGTGATAAATTTTATAATGAAAAGGTCTTTTATTCCTCACCAAACTCACTGATGCCTTTGTAAGGAAATTTGATCAATTTTAAGAAGCCAAATATGCATGCAGCTGGAGTAGTTAAAGCTTGTGTTTGAAAAAATCCTTAAAATTAAAAATCTTTGTCATTATTTACCATACTGACAAATATAGCCACTGAAGTTGTGAGCGGAGCCTTCTTGCACTTCCTTGAAAATAGCAGCTCTGCAGGCCGCGGGCGGCAGCATGTCTGTGGACGGCTGTGGTTTCTGGGACTTAGTCCTTTTTTTTTTTTTTTTTTTTTTTTAGTTTTTGGCCAGGCCTGGGTTTGAATCCACCATCACTGACATATGGGGCCAACACCCTACTCCTTGAGCCATAGGTGCCACCCATCTGGGACTTAGTCTTGCCTGGCTGGCTCTCTGCACAACTCCAAGTCCCTTTACCATGGCCCATGCCTCCTTGGTGGCATCCCATCCTAGGTCTGTGAGTGTGGACAGGGCTTGTGTTCAGCCCACAGATCACCCATCTCAGCAGTCTCCAGAGCAGGGAGATGCTTAGGAACGCTCCTGGCACTTCCTGTCCCTGCTGCTTGCTGGGCATTGCTGCACTGTCACTTGGCTCTTTACCAGGCTTGGGGCAGGAGTCCCACACCCCATTGTAGCCCCATCTGGGAAATCTCATGGAGTTTTTTGAGTGATATAAAAACTATCCGTCTGGAATAGCTACACCACAGACAGGATAGGGCCAGAGCTGTGATTGATTTTACTAAAGAATATGAAATGTGGGCTCAGCGCCTGTGGCTCAAGCAGCTAAGGCGCCAGCCACATATACCTGAATTGGATGGTGATGAATTTGGAATGTTAAGTTTACCACTCCTTTATTATATTCACACTTTCTCTGGGTCAGAGTGGAACAAACAATTTTATACTAAATATTTTGTACCACCTTTGGCTCTTGAAAAATCTGTATGTTGCCAGTTTGATTTATAATGAAAGGAAACCAGTCAGAAGCAGCTGTGGGATGAAGTCTCCCTGTCTTAGCTGACAGGGGAAGCCTGGGTGATATGGCCCATGGCAGCAGCTGCACACTTTTCATTCTCAACTATTATCATCTGTGATGGTGTTACCATTCTTGCTTTCAGAACTAGTCTAACATTTAGACCTTTCTTCTATTTTTGCTTATAAATCAGTGTGCTTTAATTTCAAGCATATGTAATACTGAAGTACATGTGAGAAGCACCAGAGTGTTTTCATTTGTTGTGGTTGTAGGGTTTGTGGGTTGGGAGGGACTAACAGGTTCACTTTTGCTTTTCTTTCCAGGCTTCTTGTCAGTGCCTCACAGGATGGTAAACTTATCATCTGGGATAGCTACACCACAAACAAGGTAGGGGCAGAGCTGTGATCGATTTTACTAAAGAACATGGAATGTGGGCTCAGTGCCTGTGGCTCAAGCAGCTAAGGCTCCAGTCACATACACCTGAGCTGGCGGGTTTGAATCCAGCCCTGCCCATCCAAACAACAATGATGGCTGCAACCAAAAAAATAGCTGGGCATTGTGACGGGCGCCTATAGTCCCAGCTACTTGGGAGGTGGAAGCAGGAGAATCACTTGAGTCAGGAGTTGGAGGTTGCTATGAGCTCTGATGCCATGGCACTCTACCCAAAGTGACAGCTTGAGGCTCTGTCTCCAAAAAAAAAGAAAAGAAAAGAAATATGTATGAAAGATTGCGCTAATTATAACAAAGTATAGGGAGGCATGTGGAAGAATTAATTACAATAGTATCCAGTATGGTGATCAGTAAGACTGTTACTTTAAATGAACTTTTAGCCATGTGGCAGCCTAATGAAGTGTTTTTCTTTTAATACAGAGTTAGCAGTTCTGCTCCATAGTGCCTGCCTCGGTTTAAGATATGACTTTAATAAAACTGTAGGTTGGAGTGGTATCTTCTGTGCAGCACTTTTTTGTTTGTTTTTGAGACAGAGTCTCTATTCTCCTAGAGTGCTATGGCATCAGCATAACTCACAGCAACCTCAGACTCTTGGATCACAGTGATCCTCCTGCCTCAGCCTCTGCAGTAGGCACCCAGCATGCCTGGCTAGTTTTTCTAGTTTTAGTAGAGACAGGGTCTCACTCTTGGTCAGGCTGTTATCCTGAGCTCAAGAAAGCCATCTGCCTCACCCTCCTGGAGTGCCAGGATTACAGACATGAGATACCATGTTCTGTCTTTACTTCATCTCATTGGCTACACATGTGAATTACTCTCTAGCTTTTTTACTCTGTTGCCTTCTATGCAGTGAAAATTGAAGACAAGGGTGGCGCCTGTGGCTCATTGGGCAGGGCTCTGGCCACATACACCGGGGCTGGCGGGTTTGAACCCAGCCTGGGCCAGCTAAACAACAATGACAACTGGAACAAAAAAATAGTAGGACATTGTGGCTGGCGCCTATAGTTCCAGCAACTTGGGAGGCTGAGGCAAGAGAATTGCTTAAGTCCAAGAGTTGGAGGTTGCTGTGAGCTGTGACGTCATGGCACTCTACAAAGGGCAACATAGACTCTGTCTCAAAAAAAAGGAAAAAAAAAGGAAGAAAAGAAAATCGAAGACTAAAAATCCTTGTGTCAGTGTTAATATTTCTGAACTCAAAAGTATCTGCGCTGTCTGTTCTTGTTCTTCAGGTCCACGCCATCCCTCTACGCTCCTCCTGGGTCATGACTTGTGCATATGCCCCTTCTGGGAACTATGTGGCCTGTGGTGGCTTGGATAACATTTGTTCCATTTACAATCTGAAAACTCGTGAAGGGAATGTACGTGTGAGTCGTGAGCTGGCAGGACATACAGGTATTTGTTGTTGCTACATTTAGGTGGTATGGGCTATTTTACCACCTTTAAGAAGCGTGTGGATTGGGGGGCCGTGCCTGTGGCTCAAGTTAAGCCCCGTATACCAAGGGGTGGCAGGTTTGAACCTGGCCCCACCCGGCCCCGGCCAGCTAAAATAGCAATGAGAATCACAACAAAAAATAGCCAGGCATTGCATCAGGCGCCTGTAGTCCCAGCTACTCAGGAGGCTGAGGCAAAAAAATCACTTAAGCCCAAGAGTTTGAGGTTGCTGTGAGCTGTGACATCATGGCACTCTACCCAAGGCAACATAGTGAGAGTCTTGTCTCAAAAAAAAAAACAAAAAAAAAAAACCTGTAGATTAGAGTTACTACAGCCTCCCGTTTCCAAGGCTGGCAGCTACTCTACTTTTACCTTAACAGGACATGATTCAATCTGTTTCTACCATCTTCTGTCACAAGCACCCCCTTTCTACAGGGTTTCCTGATCAAACACACATGCCTGTCCATGTGCACTATGGTTGCCAAGGAGGCAGAAGGGAGTCTTGTGGGCCATCTAAGTGCTTTTGAGTGTGGCAACTTTAAATGTTAGGTAGAATATGATTTTGTCAAGATTTAGTTTACTTACAATTTTATTTCATAATAAAAGGCATAATGTTTCTGAAAGATGAATTCTTGTCTTAATATTTTCCCTCAGTGGCAACATTTTCTGTTCTCAAAAGTTCTACCCTTAGTATTATTTTGGCTACACCCCGCTGGCTCACCTACTTCCCTTGCAACAAAAAAATATTGTGATGAGTGGAGTCATTGTAATAGTGCTGCTTCTGACACCCTTTGAGCAGTTTGTTAAGTAGGTTAATCTTGGTGTATATCCTTTGTCCTTTTAAAAACATGCTACCTATTTCCGTTGATTTCTGTTCTGCATTGCTTCCTGCCTTTTGCTTACTTTGAAGTTGTTCTCTTCTTAATTCCGTAGCTCCTCCTGAGAGTAACTTTCGCCACTGGTTTTAAACCTATGTTCTTTTTCAGTTATAAGCGCTTAAAAGTTTTAAATTTCTCTTCAATACATGGCTTTAGCTACATGATACAAATTTGATAAACATATTTTAATTATCATTTATGTGAAAAGATTTTAATAACCTTAGTGATTGCTTGTGTGATTTATGGGTTATATAGAAGTGCACTGTTGAATTTTCAAATATCTTTACTTCTCTTAGTTAACCTGCTGTTGGTTTCTGGTTAAATACCCTTGTGTTTAGAGTATGGATTCTGTATCACCTCAGTTTTGTGTTTGAGGCTCACTATTTGCGGAGCCGGGGTTTGCTGTGGCCATACTGCAGGTCGTGGTCTGTCCATGTTCTGCACATGTCAGTCAGAGCAGATCCAATGCATTCAGATCTTTCCTGTCTTTCTCTGAATTGCTGAGGTAGGATTGTTAACATATGTTATTGTTTAGCTGGTGCAGTCTGGGTTCAAACCCGCTAGCCTTGGTGCATGTGGCTGACGCTATAACCCCTGTGCTATGGGTGCCAATCCCCTTACCTTTATTATTTAAGGGTATTTTTATTGTATATATAGAATTGTGGGGTTTTTTTTTTTCATCCATTTAACACTCTATGAATATTTATTTTGGGCTTTTGGCAGTTTGCCTGTGGTGTGTCTAGGTTTGATTTTCTTTATATTTATTGTGCTTTGGTATCTCAAATCTGTAACTTTTATCTTTCACCAAATTGGGGAAGTTTCCGGCCATGGTCCTGTTCTTTGCATGGGAGTCTGTCCTGTCAGAGTCTGTGGCCATGCTGTTCAGTGTCTATGGCTGTGCTTCATTCTTCTCTACTTCTTCAGAGTTGCTGGGTTTTATTTCCATTCACACTTGGACGGATTGTTAGGCCTTTTCAGCAGATTTTTTTATTGCCCTCCATAGAGTGCTTTGGTGTCACAGCTCACAGCAACCTCTAGCTCTTGGGCTTAGGTGATTATCTGGCCTCAGCCTCCCTGAGTAGCTGGGACTGTAGGCGCCTGCCACAACGCCCGGCTATTTTTGGTTGTTGGAGTTTGGCCAGGGCTGACTTTGAACCCACCACCCTTGGTATATGGGGCCCGGCGTCCTACTCACTGAGCCACAGATGTTGCCCATCACGTATTATTTTTTTCAGTTCCATAATTTCTATTTGCTTTTTTTAAAAAATGATTTTTAAGGCATAGAGAATAACATTTTGTTATGTTTTAGTGATCCACCATGTTTTAGTGATCCACCAAGATTGAGAGAATATTATATAGTAAGATTATAACATTCTTGTCTATTTTATCCTGTTACAGTTTTTTTAAATCTGAAAAAAAACTTGGGCGGCGCTTATGGCTCTGTGAGTAAGGCGCCAGCCCCATATACTGAGGGCGATGGGTTCAAACCCAGCTCCAGCCTAACTGCAACAAAAAAATAGCTGGGTGTTGTAGCGGGCGCCTGTAGTCCCAGCTACTTGGGAGGCTGAGGCAAGAGAATTGCCTAAGTCTAAGGAGTTGGAGGTTGCTGTGAGCTGTGACTTTACGGCACTCTACTGAGGGTTAATAAGTGAAACTCTGTCTCAAAAAAAAAAATACGTCTTAAATGGGGGAAAAAATGGTTTTTATTTTCCTGCTGAAGTTTCCTTTGCGTTTATTATTTGCAGTTTTAAAAAAAATCTAATAGCAGAGTTATAACACCTATCTTTAAAATTCTTGTCAACTAATTCCAGTATCTAATCTTCTTAAGGCTGGTCCTTGTGGACCTTTTCTCTTGAGTCTGGGTGACATTTTGTTATTTCTTAATATGTGTAGTAATTTCAAGTTCATTATAACTCGGACGTTATAATGTTGTAGAGACTTTGAGTTCTATTGGATTAAGATACTGATGTTTGTTTTTATTAGGCTGTCCTCTGGGCAACTGCAGCAGTCTTGTTGTGCATGGCCAGCACTGGCTAAGTTGCATGAGGTGCGTCTTCTGCCTTCACACATCAGCTGTCTGGGCACCATGTACAGTACTCAGTCATCCTCTTCTGTGGTTTTTTTTCTAAGTTGTGTCCTTTCACTTTCTGGCTATGGTGGCCCAAAATTCTTTCCTCTGGCTCTTGAAGACTATGGCTTTGGGTTTTCTGTCTGGCGTTTAGCCCCATAGATGACACAAATGAACCTTTCCTCAGGAAAAGCACCATAAAAACAGGCCCAAGATGACTTTCTCCCAGGTGTTAGACTCCCTTCCAGTTTCTGTCTGGACTTGCTTCCCTTGCCATTGGGTGCTATTATATACGTGGTGTACTTGGCCAGCACTCATGGCTGCTCTCTGTGGGAAGTTGCTGCCATGGGTGGGGGCATTGCAGGATCACCAAGGGTCAGGCTGGGCCCCTGTAGGCTGTCAGCATTGGTGCTCTGCTGGGTATAGCCCTTGAGAAAACCTATTCTGGCTTGGCGCCTGTGGCTCAAGTGGCTTAAGGCGCCAGCCACATACACCTAAGGTGGCGGGTTCAAATCCAGCCTGGGCCTGCCAAACAACAA